TCAAGCTCCCTGTTGTCTCCCTACATCCAGCTTAATAAATACTAAGTTGGATTAACAGGTTCAGGACTCATCATAAATAGTGGAACCCTTGGAATAAACAACTTCACCCAGAGAGGGTAACTGAAATGAAGAAAATGAGGGAAAAGCCATATATATAGTCAAGAGGTTGCTGGGAAAAGAGGAAACCATCCAAGGTCAATGTAAAAGAGTACTTCTCAATAGCATTTATCACCATTTGCTTCCTTTCCACTTTTTATGTTTTTGTCCTTAATATTTAACAAATTTCCATCTACCCAGACTTATACATAATAGGTGTCTCATAACAAATGAATTTATTTCAATCTACAGAAAATTTACTACTAAGCACATAAAGAAAAAATTACACTATATTCTTTTTGACAAAATGGTTTTTGTAGTAATTCTTTAAAAAAAAGAGAGAGAAACTTCTTGTCTTAACTTTTACTCATTTGGCAGAAACTTTCCTTTGGAGTCATAGGGAAATCCATGAAGAATCCCTTGAATTACAGGCCCACATGAGACACCAAGGCACCAGATCCTCATCTTTGACATTTATAAACTAAATTCCATAAAGACTTCACATGATTTGTTTCATATGGACACGGCTTACACTGTAAGCCTAATGACAATATGAATATAACACTATACTATTACTGATACCATAGCTTGAAACCTATTTTCTACACATTCCTTAAAATTTTTGATGAAAGATCGGTGAGAAATTGAGTATAAATCAGCAACAACACAAAATCCTAGCACTGAAAAACATTTTGAAAGCCCACATCAACTCTTTCACACTTCACAGATAAGGATTCCTAATCCCAGAGACTACAGGGACCAGAGACCATTAACATTTTTTAAAAATATTTATTTTGAGAGACAGAGAGAGAAAGTGCGGGTGCACATGCGTATGCATGCACATACACACCCATGAGTGGGGGGAGGAGCTGACAGAGAGGGAGAGCGAATCCCAAGTAGGCTCCACACTGTCAGCACAGAGCCCATTGCAGGGCTTGATCTCTTGGTTTGTGAGCCAAAATCAACAGCTATACTCTTAAGTGATTGAGTCACCAAGGCACCCTTGAGAGGGCCTACATTTGACAAACTTTTTGAACCAGTTTTATAAACCTGTCTAGCTTTCTTTGTTGCACGCTAACATGAAGCAAAAAGACAATCTGCTATGTTATCTTTTCCCCAAAACACAAAACTAGTGGATGAAAAATGTAAATAACTGAAAATACTTTTAAACACTGCCTTCTAATGGTCATTGCAGCCAATATAAATTCTTATACTTCACTCTGTCTAGTCCCAACTGCATAGTATTTTCAAAGTCACTTGTATCATTAACAAGCAAATCAAAAGCATGTAGTCACCCAGGAGAGTGAATTTCCAACAGAACAAAATGCACCCATGCTGGCATTTTCATGGGGATTTGCAAAAGCATTTTATACAAAGACACAAAACAACATGTATATTTCATTTAAACATTTATGTTTTAAGCTGAGAAAGTATTATTCATTCAACCTGTGGGTATAAATGTCCTAAGAATATCCATAATCAGAAAGTTAATGGAGAAATCATAGTATGTACGTTCTCGGTACAAGAAGTAATAAAAATGCTAACGAACAAACTTTCAGTCCATTTTGGAATCCACATCCAATTAAAATGGAGACTATCTCTAACTGAGTTCAATTGACATTTAATGCACATCACTGTGAGTAGGGCAATATGCTAGATATTGATGGTGCAAAAATGGAAAACAGGGCTTCTCCCCTCTCAATTTTAGGGAATTTTCTACCTTAGAATTTTCTAAAGAAAGGAAGTGTATAATTTCAATATAAAAATGTACATTCCCACAACCACTCCGAAGTCCAAACCATCTTCTATGCCTAAAAGACAGAAATAGAGTTCCCCTAGACCTTCTCCTAATCCTGTTTTCTCCTTGGGGTCCCTTCTTTTTCCCTGGGAAGAAAATGCAAACTCCTTAGCTTGGTCGACAAAGCTAAGCTTTGTCCTCCCACTTTCCTGTCTGATTTAATATAATCCAGTGACATTAGCCTTCCTTCTCTACTGTGAACCCAAGCTTGCTCTATGACTTTGAACTTTGTTACTTGTCTGAAATGCTCTTACCTGGCTCTTCGAAGAGCTGGTTTACACTTATCGATTTAAGATATCACCTCTTCACAAATGTTCTACTTGACTACTTGCTTTCAAGAAGCACCCCACTTCCTACCACATCACCTTCTAAAAATGACATCACCCTATTTATTTCCTACATGGCCCTACTCACTTTCTGAAAAAGAAACAGTAACTTCCACCATTAGACATATCTTATACACATTAAAATTAATAAAAATTCTTCCCTAAACATTTTATGCTATGTTATGATTTATATGAATTTGACATTCTAAAATTGCATAGAATGACCTACTAATCGGAAGTATCTACCTTATCCATCTGCACATGTGTGTGTTTATCTACCAATGTTGTGAAAGAAATGGAGCATACAGTAAAGAAGAAAAGGCACTGGTGGTTATCAAGGGACCCAAAAGTTATTTTACTTCTACAAATTTAGGCAAGTCAATGTCATTTCTCTAGACTTCAGTCAACTTATTTGTACAACAGAGGGATTATATTAAACCATTTAGAACAACTTTCCGGTTCTAAAACTCAGTCATCTGAAGTAGATTTCCCTCAAATTAAATGTACATTTTTTACTTTCTTTTATTTTTCTTTTTTTTGAATTTAGTATGTTTTTTATTTTATTTATTTATTTGTTTATTTTTTACAAATAGTTTATTGTCAAATTAGTTTCCACATAACACTCAGTGGTCATCCCCACGAGTGCCCTCCTCCATGCCCATCCCCCCTCCCCCCCATCCATCAGTCCTCAGTTTTTGTCAGCATTCAAGAGTCTCTCATGGTTCGCCTCTCTCCCTTTCCCCCACCATTTCCCCCCTTCTTCTCCCCCTTGTTTAAATGTACATTTTTTATAACATGAGCACAATGAGACAGGAATATCAAGCACTCCATATGGGCTTCCTGTCCATTTGTAGATTATTTTTCCTTAACTACCACTTTTTGATTCTTCAGGCTGAGTCCTTTTTATTTCCCTCTCCAGAATGGGGAAACATACTGAAACTATTTCATAAAATTATATTGAATTATGCAGTCATTCCTCCCATAGAAAATACATGTACTTCTAATAATGTACGCGTGTTAAAAATTTTTAAATAATCCAGAAGTGCTAAGAAGAATCAGTTACAATACATGTATTTACAGAATGTGTGTTATCATCACTGTTTTTTCAAGTAACCTAGACAATAATTTGTTGCACTTTCTGTTAAAACTAAATCCAAACTCTTCTCATGGAAGAACTACTCTCCACCACCAACATTGAAAAAGACAAACCAGGAGGATGATGTAATATAAAAACAATAATAACTTAAAAATAGAAATAGATAAAGACGGACAAGTCAGAATAATAAGGGGGCAAACTCTTAAAATGAACACGATAGTGAATTTCTTCCCTTGCAATACAAATGAAGCCATAATTAAATTAAAAGGAATTGATTGTGAAATATCTAAAGCATGTAATAAAATTATGGAAACAAGATTAGAAGGTTATTAAGTAGAATTAGTTTGAGGTAAAGGAAATGCAGAAAGCAAGATAGGGAAAAAATTCTACTTCAAAAGATGCAATAAGAAGAAGAGATTCTTTAGCACTCGGGAAAATAATCATGGACCTACTTTAATGCACAGTGGGGGCACCCAAAATAGTATGCATGAGAAAATCTAATTTAAAATACTTCATATGAGAAAATCCTGTGAAAATAAAATATATTCTGCAGCAAACTTAAAATTAGTTGACTGCCAACTTAACATGGCAATAACACTGCATCGTGAAACAAAATCAGGAGTGGTTATGCAATAACCCATGTGAAATGACATGCTGTGTTATGCTGGAAAGACAAAGCATCATGACCCTAGATTTATAAACATATATGCAAAATGGAAATAAGCAAATGGATTTGTGGCTGGTTAAGTATATCCTCCATTTTATTATTCCCATTTTTCTACACTCATAGTCTGTCACTGATTTATTTTTACTAGTTGCAAAATGGAATAAAGAATTAACTTTAAGAAGAAGGATATTAGTTTCATTTCCTCAAGATTTAACCGCCATCCATCTTTCAGCTTACTACTTGATAATAACACATCAAAGCCAAAAGTGGTTAAAAAATCATGTTCCCCCCAAAGGATCAGCAAAAGTGAATGCTTTACTGTTCCTTGAAAGCCATTCCAACTACAAATCTGGTAGAAATAAGTACATCTTACCCAACACCAAACCAGCTATATACTTCACCTCACTTAACACATGACTCACTCCTAATGATAGAGTGGAGTGTGACAGAGTTGTTATATAAGTTCATTCTGTACTGATTAAGGCAAAGCCTAAACTGAATGAGAAAGACATCTTTTATATCATTTATAGTTTATCCTTGACCCCAATCTCAGGTATCTAGAGGCTGGGGTACACTTGTTTTTTCCAGAAAGCAAGATTTTGTGGTCAAAATGTAAACCTCTAAAATTTAAAAATGATACAGTCAAGGAGCAATATATTATCATTCATAAATATAAGAGAGCGAATATTCTGGTTACATACCATCCATCAGGCAAGGAGCAAGATGCTTTCCTGATGAGACCTTTTTTACTCTTCACAATGGACTTGAAAGAAACAACTGTGTAAATGCCTCTCCCCATTGAAGTCCTATGAAAATTACTAATGGAAAATATAATGTGTAGCCTTCTATACATGCCTGCTTTGAATGAAAAACTCAGACTACACCATGAGGCTAAATCTGTAACAATGAAGTCCATGCCCTCTCAAAATGCTCTTTGCCAGCAAATCCTAAATCTCATATCAACATTAACAGTAAATGAGGGTGGAGGGGACATGGAAAAAACTATCAACCACTCACCATAATGCATGTAACAGTTTCCTTTGGTGGGATCCAGCTCAATAGCCTTCAAGAAGAACTTTTCAGCCTCACTCTTACGACCCTTGAAAAACAGAGAAAATGGATGATTCAGCAGTAGATCATGAAGGATTCTTTACCTCCTGGGCCCAAATGAAGTAAGTAGACTGATGTCTACTTGGTAATCATCACACACACAGACAAAAGTGTTTTGTTTTTATCTAAACAAGGATGACCAAGGAGAATATGCTAAAAGAGAAGAATGAAGTCAGAATCCTAGGAAACACCAAGATTAGAACAGACAGTGAGAGTTGATCAAAGAGATCAGAGAAGAGGCCAGGAAGGCAAGAGAAAAAGTGAAAAAATGGTTTCATGACCACCAAAGGGATGAGATAGTTTTAAGGAATGATGGGAAACATCATTTTCATTTTCTATTTTATTTTCTCCTTTTGATTTTTTTCCTCTTCATTTCTTCTTCCTTGTAAAGAATTTTGGGCATTTTAGCTTTTGAGATGATTTTATCCTAATGGCTCACTTTACATATAAAGAAACTACGTCACGGTTTATAACTCTCAAGCAACCACTGCTTATCTTTGCTGATGTCATTCAGCACTAAAATACTCCTACACCAGGATTTAGTCTAAAGTTGACTCCTCTTCCTAGCTATAGTTTTAATTTTAGTAAACATCACAATCATCCCCAGAAGAAAATAAACAAAGAGTAGGGGGAAAGCCCTATAAGCAATAAACTAACTTTTCATGAAACAATATCCATCCTGGAAGAATCTATAACTATATATTCGTTACCATTTTATAGCCTGTGAACCAAAATTGCCTACAGAGTAATAGAAAGGGGTGGCATAAGGCAGGAGAAGAGCCCCAAGAAGAACTTGCCTGGAGCAAGTCTGTTTTGTCCTGCAAGGTTGGAATGAAGATCTATGCTGACTGACAATGGCAATGAGGCACTGGTTGCTGGTAGTGTCCAGAAGTTTCGCTCTAAAGAGAAATGATCGTATGTCCTTGTTCCTTCTAACTTATACACTGTCTACCACATGAACTTCAGATAATGTTTTTTTTTTCCTTTCTTCAGATATGTTTTTTTAAACCACTGTTAGATATATCTCCCAAAGGTAGAGGTATATAATTAACCTAATAGTCTCCATTCCATTCAACTTTGTTCTTTCACTCATTTAAAAATTTTTCATTCATTTCACTCACTTAAAAAATTCACTATTGCTACATCCTTTATTTACCCATTGCCCTAGCCAGTAGGATGCAGCCTACATACAGCTTCTACTATAGACAAAAGTATCTGACATCTTCATTGCTACTCCAGTCAATAAATTGTCTTTAACTCACAAGTCTCCACAAATATCCAATAATTAAAAATTTTATTCCCTATAGTATTTCTCATGACATTTTAACTTCAAAGGAAGAAAAGGAAAGTACAAGCAAAATGCACCCCCCCACACACACACAGTATACTTCTATGAAGTAAGTAAGACTTGGCAAGAATCTTACCAAGTTAAGATTCCTTAAAATAATTAAATAACTTTAGTGAATCAGGCAGTAGAATGTATAAGTTCAGATCATAGATTCTAGGCAGACAGCTCCCCCATGTGTGTAGCCATGTGACCCTGAGTAAGTTATTTCAGCTCTTAGCTGTAATGTTCTCTATTATACTATGACAGGAGGAGCACAGTGAATTTTTAGGGCCATGGAACTATTCTGCAGGATACAGTAATAGTGGATACATATCATTATATATTTGTCAAAACCCACATAATACAAAAAGTGAACCTGAATGTAAACTATGACTTTAACTATTGATAATGTGTCAGTATTTGCTCATCAATAGTAACAAATATACAACACTAATGCAACTTGATAATTGTAGGGTGGTAAGAGGGTAAAGGAGTATATGGGTACTCTATATTTAGCTCAAATTTTTTTTCATGTTTATTTATTTATTTTGAGAGAGAGAGAAGGGAGTGGCAGAGAGAGAGGGAGACAAAGAATCCCAAGCAGGCTCCACACTGTCAGCACAGAGCCTGATGCAGTGCTCAATCCTGCAGACTACGAGATCAGTACTTGAGCTGATATGAAGAGCCAGATGCTTAACTGACTGAGCCATCCAGGTACTCCTCATTTTTTTTTTATAAACCTAAAACTGCTCTAAAAATAAAGTGTACTGTTTTAAAAAGAAAATAACAGTCAAATCAGTTTCAGAAGATTAGTGAATTATCTGAGACGATATACATAAAGTTGTTATTATAGTACTTAGGTATAAATTTGTAATAAATGTTAACTATTTTTTTAAATATACATATATACATGAACATACAGTATGCAATAGATTGCAGAGTTATTAATGTCAAAGAATATGTTTATTATATACACAGTCTCAGAAACACATTGTCAGCCTTTAATCATTAGAAAATGATGTACAAAGAACTTGAGAAGATAATAAAAGACACAAAATGAAAACTATCGTCGGTAAAGAGTCTGTACAAATGTTATATGCAAAGATACAAAGGATCTGTGAAACTTTCTTGCACCTTAGTTTTTCAGGATGGAGAAGAAACTGGCTCATTTATCAATGTCACAGTAAATGGGGTTATAAAATCCTTGTGTGTAGTCCATTGGCAAAAAATAGTACGTAGCGTTAAAAACACGCATCAGATCTCAAAGGACAATGGTCTCTAGATGCTCAGTGGACCAGGTTATTAAAGGCAATGAGTCCCAACATTTCCTAGATGCAAAATAAACACATCGAAGGCCAGAACATTCTTTCTAGGGGGAGTCCCAAACCATCGTGCAAAAACCTATCTTTCTGCTTTGATCACTATTTATTTAGTCAAGTGCCAAATAATGAGGAGGAAAGTAAAATCCTCACGAGAGTATTTAAAATCAAGAGTCAACCAAATGCATAAGCCAACCATACACATACATTACTGGCTCTTGGGAAGAAATTACGGTGACTTGGAGGGAAAAGTATGTTCAGTCCAATTTATTTCTTTCAACTATTATTGTTTTGGAAGGGTGGCAGTTAAGAAAGTGGAGAAGAAAAAGTTATTTCTCAGCAGGTTTTTCTTGGTGCTTTTAGATTTTGTCAGCATTTTCTATCAGCAAGCATCATGGAGTAGCCACTAGTTGTACAAACTCCTCATATCAAGCACCATTACTCATTTTGTATACTGGCTGATGTTTGAACATGTGTGATGGTTCTGAAAACCAAGTAAAAAGGACTGTGGTCAGCTGTGAAAAATAAGGGAAATGTGAGTTGAGAGGCTTGGTTTCTACAACCATCTCTGTGACTTGTTTATATGCTTGTTCCTTTGTTTTTGTTGGGTAAAAAGGATTTACGGAAGGCCTTCTGTTTGCTTTGCACAGTTCTAAGTAACGAAGATATAACTGTGAACAACACAGAGTGTTTGGTCTCAAGTCCTAGTTGCAAGAGGCACACACTGAACACATAACCCCATCAGCAGGCAGATGAGTCACAGGGGACTGTGGGTAAAAAACGTCTCCAATTCTCAGTGAAAGCTGGCCCAGAGACAACAAGCCTGAGTTTGAATCTTGCTGGTTCTACTTATTTAACTGTGACTTTGAGTATCTTTTGTAATGTCTCTTCTTCCTCATTGGTGAAAGTAAACATAATACCAATCAATTTTGGAGGGTTGCTTAAAAAAATCATGGAAATAACTGGCTTAGATATGACATATAAAGCTCTGACATTCTTTGATTTTTCTTCCTTTTATCTTTTCAAAAGAATTCTTCCTTCCAGTTTCATTGCCATTATCTGGTTCCTAATTACCAAACTTCAAAAATGCTTTTCAGAATTTCATGTCATGATAGAAACTAAATTTCACAATTTGTCTATAAAATGTCCCATTCCTAACACTTTCTCCTATCTCAAATAAAAGCCCCTCTCACCTCACATTTACAATGATACAGCAGATATCAGATGTCCTGACCCAATGAGCTTCATTTTACCTGATTAATATTCCTTAAATGAAACTGGTTTTGTATGCCTTTGCTCAATTTTATTTTACTTATTTAATTTTAGAGAAAGAGAGAGAGAAGAAAAGGGGCAGAGAGATAGAGAGAACCTTAACCAGGCTCCACGCTCAGCACAGAGCCCAACACTGGGCTTGATTTCAAGACCTGGGATCACGACCTCAGCTGAAATCATGAGTCGGATGCTCAATCAACTGAACCTCCCAGGAGCCTCTGCTCAAAAATATGTTAATAGCTCCTACTTTCCACTCATTTTATTTAATAAACAGGTTAATTTCCAAAGTCTTTCATAATGTAGCTCAAATCTTCCTAGATAAATTCCTATACCTTATCAGGCCAATTTACTCACATCTTCCTTCAATTATTTCTTCTGGTCTATAATGTTGCTTATTTTTTTGCTTGCTCACATGCATTTTATGCTTTACAACTTGACTGAAGTTTCACTTTTCTATAAAGCTTTCTGTGATGGCTACGATGGCCAGTAATTTGCTTTTTCTTTTAATTATGATGATATGATTTATTTTTAAAAGAGTTATTACTACCATGCTAGTTATACAACTTAAACCCTAGGATACTAGACCAAGTCCTATCATAAATAAAGTGACTGGAAAGTGGACATTTAATTTTTGCAAAATTGTAATTCTAGGTTAAGTATTTAGAGTTTGGACATGACCATTCAGTGTGCCCACATACTAGTCAGTTAAAACAGCAAAAACCCAGTATACTGAGAAAAAAAAAAAAGAGTAACTGATTATGCAGAAGATTAAGAAGTCAAGGACATAAAGCAGAGGTAATGGAATTCTTGGTAAATATTCTTTCTTATTTTAACATCACTGCTTTGAATAATCCTAGATTAGATTAGGCACTTTGCAGTTAGTACATCAGTGCCGGTGTTGAGAATTAACCAGTTGGACTTTGAGCAGCACAAGGGCTATGGGATTGGGAGAATGCAAGCAGGATAAAAAGAGAGAACAGACATTTTCCTGGATGAGGCCTACACCTGTTTCTGGAATTAGGGATTTGAGATTACCAATATACTTACATTATATTTACATTAGTATATTAT